TACATTTCATTTCAGAAGGCCACGGACACTAAGTATCGTTACTCTGTAGTAAGTATGAGTGTTACAAACCAAACGATAATACTAATATTTTTTCGATAGAACTTTTAGTTTTTGCTAAATTATTCGTGCACAAGCACAAGGTCCCGTTTTTGGGGTCAAAGGGCTATTCGTAAAAAAAATTTGGAATCAAAGGCGAATTCGTTTTAGAAACCTTTTTTGCCCACCTCGAGCCCTAGACCTAATCGGAGTCGTGACTTTATGCCTCTTTCCCAAAGATTACTCGCACAGGAATGCCAACTCTAGGCCAAAGTTCCCATTATAACCATTTCTTCAGCTTTGCTGACACAAAAGAAATGCCCACAGCTTTGCCCTGAAATCTCACTGAAACTTTTTGTACCCAGGCGCCTAAAGTTACCCCGTTTAGAGATGTCGAGCGCGATAAGTTTCGGTACAGCCTGCTTCTCAGTGAGCCGAAATGGATACAGGAGTCTCCTTTCAAATGAGAACTTGCACCATTCCCTCGCTGATGCACGTCCGACTAAAATGCCGAAATTTACGGACCCCCAATATTCTACTACTAGTCTTTCTTCCTCCCTACTTGCAAAGATTATAGTTCCACCAAAGCTCATCTGATGCGGACTCTAAATGCCTTATAGAAAAAGTCGCAACAATGTCGCGTCATCGAATGTGATCAACGTTTCACGATAATGAACTCTTTTGGAGAAGCTTCACATGGTTTCAAAAAACGTATGCAAGTCCAAACAAACCTGTAGACAGGAACACCCTCGCTAAGCAGGTCCTCAAAGTTTGGCCAGAACGAACCCTTCAGGAAATCCAAATTCCGCCTAGATATTATTTCATAACTGACAGCGAATTATTTTCAAGGAACATCTCAAGACATGCACATATACACCGACGGAGACATGTCGATGTGAAAATGTAAACAGTATATCTATTATGGCATTCAGAAACAAAACAAGATGGAGCAAAAAGAAGAATGCAAGGCAAGACTCACTCTCTGCACATTCGCTCAATCACACCCCAGTACTCATACGGACATCCAAACCACTCACAGTCACCAGGACCGACGTTGATATTTATAGAAGCAAAACAGTTATTCTCTTGATGAGCTGGAGTGCGCGATCCCGGTACCTGAGGA